AGCATCGTTCTAGCACAAGAATAACACACAAACTTTTGAAGTGTTCCTTTTTTTCAGAGAAAGTACAATAGGCTGCAATTACATACCTCCACTCACTAATTATTCCACAAGGTTCCCTTTTTTCCATGTTTGAGAAGGGGTCTTGGTTGGCACTTGGAGGAAAATAGTCAATTTTGTGGTGTATGTTAAAGACATTGCTTTCTAAGGAAGTTTAGTGGCATATTGACACAAATCTTTCAGTTTTATGCCATTCTCTTATAAATCCTAACTGACAAAGGTAGTACATGAAATATTTTCAAGATGCTGTATCAGAATGGGCCACTAGAGAGAACCAGAAGACATTTCCATGTATTTTTCTGTGTTGCTGATAATAGTACTATAATAAGTTACTAAGACACACTGACATTGAAGAATTTTAAACAGCTAGAGATTTTGCATACCTTGGTTCAATCCAAATAGAGACTGCAGCCAAGAAAGTCAGAATAAGAAATCAGAATAAGAGTGAGACTCAGAAGGGCAGCAATGAAGGAATTAGAAAAAAAATTAGAGTGTCAGGATGTGTCACTGGAGACCAAGATAGAGTGTCAGGATGTGTTACTGGAGACCAAGATCACCGACACTTTTGTAATTCCAACCACCATGTATGAGGTGTGAAAACTGGACAGTAAAGAAAGCCAACAGGAAAAAAATATTTGGGGTGCTGGAGGAGAACTTTGCAGATACCCAGGACTGCCAAAAAGAAAGTGGGTCCTAGATCAAATCAAGCTTGAACTATCTCTGGAGGCAAACATGTTGAAACTGAGGTGGTCCTACTTTGGGCACCTCATGAGAAGGCAGGATTGTACAGTGGACCTTCTACTTACGGAATTAATCTGTAGTGGAACGGTGGCTGCAGGTCAAAAAGTCTTTAGGTCGAGTCTCAATTGACCTACAATGCATTGAAAACCGATTAATCTCGTAACCGGTCATTTTTGTTCCATTTTGATTTTTTTCTGGTCTGTAGGTTGATTCTAAGGCTGCAATTTGAACCTAAATTTTGCAGCCAGAGAAGTCTGTAACTCGAAAAGTCTGTAAGTCGAGCCATCTATAAGTCGAGGGTCCACTGTATGGAAAGAGCAATAATGTTGAGGAAGGTGGAAGGCAGCAGGAAAAGAAGAAGACTAAATATAAGATGGACTGACTCCATAAAAGAACCACAATCTAGAGTTTGCAAGAGCTGAGCAGGGCAGTTGAGTTGAGGACATTTTGGAGATTGTTGGTTCATGGGGTCACCATAGGTTGAAGACAACTTGATGGCACACAAGTTAATAATGTGCAACTCGAGGAGTTACAGTAACAGCAACCTGATTGCTGAGAAATAATGACATCAGGTAACAACAACAACAAGGAGCAACATAATAAGCTGTTGTTTTGAAAATGTAACACTTCAAGTTCTGGGCTTGGCTTCAGGTTCTGTCTTCGTTTTGGAAAAAAGAACAGTGGTGAGACATTATAGAAGGTAATCAACCACATTAGTAATCTTAGATTGCTACATACCTAGAGTGGGGTGTTTTCTGATCCTTCCTATAACACCGGGTGCAGTGCGCTTTAGGTGTTTATTAACAGGCACACCTTTCTGTTCAGGCGTTGCCTGCCATACTGCACTAACTAGCTTGAAAAATATTTTTAGGGCCTCATTTTAAACTTCTAAAAGAAGTATTCTAATTGATCAAGGTTTGTCTCATTAATTTTTTAAAAGTGCAATGATAATTTGCTTTTTTACATCTCATTGCTTATCTTGAGTGGATCATTCGATACATTGGTTTGAGGTATTGTTTTAGGTATGACAAACAGTACACACATTGATTAAATAAAATAAATAATAAAGGAAAAATGGATGATCAGACAGAAAAACGTAATGCAGTAACTGTAGCAGTTTGGTGGGTTTTGATAAAGCTCTTAACCATGGATTTATTTTCTTTTTTGGCAGATGAGGATGACTCTTGCGGTAGCTTTATTTGCATTGGAAAATAATGCATTTAGAGACTCTGGGTAGAATGTACCATGAAATAAAGTATTTGTAATTCATGAAGCAGATTTTGCATGAAAGTTCTGGTCCCTCCAGCTACTATGTAATAGTCACATTTTTGCTTTAACAGACTTTTTTTTTAACATAAGGAATTCCTTAAAATTAATTCCTAGTTTTGCTATGATATAGGCTGAAGTGCTGCACTGTATCGCTGCTCTAGGCTGACTCAGATCTGTGTTTTTTGTCCAACACAAGACAGGTCTGACTTGCAGCTGCATTTTATTTTAAATGGAGATCAGCCATTAATCCTTTATCCCCGATTGCATTGCTAGGTGTAATCTGAAACCTGCAACATCTGCCAGTAACTAACTCATGCAGCCTGTGAAAGCCATCTTGAGACTAACTCTTCTTAACTGCAGACCTCATACCAATAGCATCTGGCCTCCCCTACCATACTCACCCCCCTTTTTTGCACTTTTCTGTTCTCCTCCTCTGTAATTTTGTACTATGTAGGCTGAAATCTTAAGAGCTATAAAAGGTTACATACTTGCACAGCATTTTCCCCCCTCAACATGGCTGTTTGTCAGTTGAAAAATAAGAAGAGAGATATAATTTCTTTAAAGTGGCGTTTGAAATATAAATTTTTCAAGGGAGACTAATAAGGTAGTTAGGGGTCATGAAGGAAATCGTTGCTGTTGCACAGTATGGGATTACCAGGATGTCCTTCCTTCCACGGGGCAATGCTGAATCTCACAGCAATAAAAGAAATGAAATCCTGGAACTGTGGTGCCACCATGAGGGGGACATTTGAAATGCAAATACTATCAGGTTCTCTCAAAAAATACATACCAATGTGATGCCTTTATTAAGCCTACCACAAAAAAACAAAACAAAAACACCCCACAAACAGTGCACAAAAGCAGTTCTCTCACAAAATACATACTAATGTGATGCCTTTATTAAGCCTACCACACACAAAAAACAAAAAAACAAAACAAAAAAACACCCCACAAACAGTGCACAAAAGCACAAACAACTGTGGATGCTTTCATAAGAGAACCCTCTCTTCATCAGGCAGATGTAAACAGTAACAAGAGAGAAAGGGAAGGGGAAAGGAAGAAAACTGGATCTCACATCCTTGCTATTTGCACATTTTTACAGAAGGCAATGCAGGAGAGTTGCTCCAGAGAAAAAGCTGGGTTTGACCAGCTCATAATGGTGTTAGATATAATCTGGTACAGCCCACAGACAAATTTAGACCTGGAAAATTAGAAGCCTTTGGGTCTCCATCTTAGCCAACTTTGAGTGCCATAATGGAGAAAGGTGGGATAAATAAAATGTTGATTATGTAGAACTCTTATAGAGAGATGCTCATTACAGTCTGTTACACTACTTAAGGAAAACTGTGAAGCTGTTATCTTCATCAAACCTCTTAGCAACATTTTAAAATTCTGATTTACTAATAATTCTTCCAGTTTTCTTCATTAGCATCATATGCTATTTATTTGGTGAACCATTCATTATTGTTGGTATGCAATCTACAGTTCTACAGAACTTGTCAGAAATATATTTAATCTGTTTCATTTATTCCAGCTGTTTTTTGGTTGCCTTTAAGGGCCAAGCCTCCATGAAGCAATGCATGTTCATGAGACAAGAACAAAATAAGGGTTCATTAGATAAAGCAAGTATGAAATGGGCACAGTTAATTTAACATCAGAGAAACTACTTTCAATGACATAATTCCATGAGGAAATGCAATAATGAAAAAGCCTTTTTTGAATGCTAGAATGTGAAGGAATCAAGCAAATCTTAATCAAAAGGAAGTTCCAGAACTACACACAGCTACCATTGGGAAAACCCTGTTTTGTGTTTCTCCCCTACTTGAATACTTTCTCTAGCAGAAACAAGACGCGGGCCTCTAATGCTTAGGTATAAAACTGTACAGTATATGGCCCAAGTGGGCAATTATAGCCTTTCAGATGTTTTAGGCCTAAAGCTCCCAATAGCTCTAGCCAACATAGCCAATGGTGGGAAATTGAGGGAATTGCAGTTCAGAGCTGGCCAGAGTTGGTCAACCGTGCTCTGGGCTTTAAGAATTAATACCTGTGCAAGGAATTGTATAAAAACAAAACTACTTTCATGGATTACAATCCACTTCCTCAGATTTCCTGTGCCCAAGGAAGTGGACTGTAACCCATGAAACCTCTTGCTGGAATAAATTTGTTAGTTTTTTTAGGATTCCATGACTCTTTTGTTTTTATATTTGTTATACATGCTAAAACCTACATGTCTTTAATTGGCAAACCCTTTGAACTCGGTATTGTGCATCTGGAGTAGGAACGGTGTCATAACCAGGTAGCCAGTGACATTTGAGAAAAAAGAGCTTTCTGAAGTGTCCAGTTTGAAGGGAATCTAGAGAACGGGTTAGGCAATCTCCAGCAGGCCTATGCTGATGGTAATAAAATCCCAAACATCCACATTTCTTCCAACGGCTTCATATAATGCTGAAAAGCATGCAAAGTAAGATGAAACCCTGAGGTGTTCCACAAACCACAGCCCATTGAGTAAAACAGCACCATTTCGAAAATGATAATCCCAGAGCTACTTTGACATGCTGCTTCTCTAGCCCTTCTCAAATATGCAAGACAGACAGACACATGGAAGTGTGATGGTTAAAAACAATGAATTGCTTTCAAAATTACCTAAAACTGAGAGGGCAGCCCTCTCTTCAAAGCTGTGTATTGATATATTTTGTATCTCAAATACGTAACCTATTTTGATTTAATATCAGGATTTTGTTTCTGTGTAAGCATACATTTCTTACAAAGATTTCGAATCATTTAGGAAAGAAAAATGGTTAAAAACAAAAACCATCAATACAAATCTGATGTTCTACCAATGTAATTTTTCTCCCTTCAGAACGGTTCTACTGTTTTCATTAGCCAAAGTTCATCCCATTTATGGAAAGATCACAATACACAAACTGAGAAGCTTGATTTAATTTTTTAATCAAATATAAATATTCATAGAGGGCTAGAGTGTCCAGCAATACTCTCTTCTTGCCTTTTCATGACTTTTGACCCTTGAAATTCATTTGTCCCTGCATGCCCTCCCCTCACCATTTAAAATATCCCCCTGCAACTAGAGCCTGGTTTTCAACAAGATTATAGTCATTAAGTGGGAATATTTATTAATATATACTTCATGCCAGTACATGATATACACCTGGTGGTCCAAAATATGGTAGAAAACCGTAAATTAAAATCTGACACTGAAAAAGATAGACCTCTTACAGTATAATGCTCATTTTTTTAGAAGATAACAGTTCAATGAACCCCAATGTTTTCTTTTCTTCGGTACTTAAAAACGTGAACCATCCATTTCCATGGGAATAATTTTCTTCCAAAATACATCCAAATGAAACCACAATATTATACAGGAATGGTAGTCAGGACATGGCATATCTCACATGGAGAGTTTCATTTTAGCTATAACTCACTTGACAAACAATATAAATAGATACTTTTTTCTATGCACCATGTTAGGGCAGCACACATGTGCATGCTGACGTCACAACATTGATCCCCAGAGGAAAAGCAATATATCAGTATTGGCTTCACCGGCTGACAGAAGGCCCACAGTTGATCTTCTGGTCCCCAGTCATTCATGAGACACCCGGTCCAAGGCCACGTAGAAACTCTTTTTATCATCCAAGCAGTGCCAGCCAATAGGACCTATTTCACAGTCTGCGCAGATCAGGAACTTTATATTTCCAACATCCTTGGTGAAGCCAACATTTTCGAAAGAGAACATGTCATCAACCAACCAGTGGTCCTGTAGGACATCCCCTTCTGGGTCACTATTACCCACCAGTGCTGTTTTCTTCTTCATAGAAGGAAGGAAAAGCTGTTGACCAATAAGATAAACAGTCATTTGCTGTTATTACAAAAGGAATAATGTGAATGGCACCATTTGAGGCAGAAATTATTTGGGGAATTCTCTATCCTTTCTTGAACATAGAACCCGTGCATGCACTAGCTGGCAGATAGCACACACATGCATGGAACACATTTTATTTTCACTGCTGTCTTGAAGACTTTGATAAACCCCAATATTAAATATTTGTCCAGCCATAAAGTAGGCCCTTCCCCGAGTTCCCAGGCTGAGTGACAGGTGTAACTTAGCACTACAGTTAACTTTTATTGTCAGGGCTTTGTCATAAAGTTTGCAGAGCAGCAACAGTCATGCCTCTGAGCATCTGTTGAGGTCAGCCCTCTTTCAGTCTCCCCACTCAGTAGCCACAAACATAAGGCAAATGCAAAAGAAGAAAAATTTCAAGTCCTGCCTTCAGAATGATTACTTAAGAACAAGGCAAAGACAACCACACACACTTTGAGGAAGCAGTAGTTTTCCTACTTCAGTCCATTCTATTCTTATATCAGGACTGTGAAATACTGTAGGTGGGGGAGAGAGGCCCAGATTGATTCAAAATCATAAATCTATTTTTAAGGCTAACCAGAGATACAAAACTGGGTCTCTCTAAATCTGAGGGAGGACCCACTGTGATGTAGTGGATAGAGTGACGGACTCGGGCTCCGGAGACAAGGGTTCAAATCCCCACCTGGTCCTGGAAACTCACTGGGGGAGTAGAACTCATAAAACCACTCCTCCAAAATTTCACTTATCTTGGAAACTCTATTAGGGTCGCTCTAAGCCCGACGGCACATAATTAAATGTAACATTCTTAACCCGGACATCTCCAGCCTGGTGCCTCCGGAAAATGGGAATTATAGTCCAACGCATCGGTTTCGGTCGTGAGGGGATGAAATGCTGCTCTGACCACTACACTACGCTGCCTAATTAAGCGGTGTCTGGTGAATGGAAGAAGATATTTGGAAGGGGAAAACTCGCGGTCTGGCTATCACGCCTTGCAGTAGCAGAAAGCACAGACGGTGTGTGTGTGTGAGGGCACAAGATTCCTATTCCGCCCCCCCCCCTACCTCTCTGCGGGTGAAGGTCGCCATCCCAGGCAAAAGGACGCGGGAGCCGCAGCGCTGGCACATCACGGCCTTGCGGTTCCGCCCTTGGGCACACACCAGCTCTTCCAGTCCCGAAGCGGCCGCCTCCATTTGCGAACTGGGCGCCGCCATAGCTACGCAAGCGCAACGCGGGAGGGACGGGGAGAGAGCACGACCTAGGCGGAGCCATCGGGAAAGATCCTCCTTCCTTGGCCGGTTTCCCCTTGCCTCATCGGCCTTCGGCAAGCGTACGAGCGACGCTTAGGCAGCGGCGGCAGCAGCAGCTTCAGAAAAGAAGGCACAGTGATACTGTACTTGCTGTCTTCACAGGTAAAGTTGCTCCGGCGGCATTGTTGTGAACGTCGCCTTTCACGCATTTGATAAAACAGTTCTCACGGTCATGCAGGAGCGGACTGGAAAGGCAAGCAGGTTCCAGAATAGGCTGTCTATGCATCCCCGCAGATACCGGCTGAATTCATCAGATGGGTTGTGAAGGTATGGCCAAAATTATGCGCTGAAAAAATCGGAACATTCCTCCTGCCTGGCTAGCAGCTTCCTGGGATGACAGCTGCAGTAGCAAGCACCTTATCGTGCATCCCAATTTAGCTTTGTGAGCTGATCCAGACAGTCGTCCTTGACTGTTGACTGATAGGTTCTGAAACTGAATTGGGCATTAATGCTGTGAGCTCTTAAAAAGCATACAGACACTGGCATTCGTTCAGAGGCTTTTATCATTTCACCTATCAGCCCATGGATCTATTCGTATTCCATTCTGTACACAGGTTAATACTGCAATGTCCATGTCAGTATGTCCTTATTTTTCTTCACCCTCTTGACTTTCCATTAAAGCTTCAGGTGAATAGTGTGGCTGACACATTTAACTGTCAAAATAAGACTTGATTAAAGCACCTAATTAAATTTGGGCAACAGATTATTGCTTCAACATGAGCAGCTTTCCTTACTTTGTTCATTCCCAGTTGATTGTAGATAATCAAAGCAAGCAGAACAGGCACCCATTAACTGTGATGACTCGCTAGTTAATGAAAGTCAGAAATGCAATTATAACTATCCAGATGGAATTTAACTACCTAAATAGATCCCCCTACTCTTAATTCCTATGATATTGTTTGTTGTGAAAATCAACACACTACTGTACTGTATAGACATACTGTATCTTACTTGGTAAATTACCTTCTACTTACTGGCATTTATATCTTCAGATCTCAAGAGCTGATGCTAAGATGTACGAAGTCCAGCTACACCAAACAATAATTTCGTATACAATGAAGAGTGCAGTAGTTTGTCAAAATGTAAGTTAATACTATATAGTGTCATTTGCCGATCTAATGACAATCCTTTAAAATGCTATTATGGCATTAATCTTCACTTTGTTTAAGTTGTAATAACTTGCATCTTTAAGAATATGTTGCAAAGAAGTCGGCAGATGCAGAATCCATGTTACTTATTAGGCAACTCTTGGACTGCAAAGTGAACAAACCTATCCATTTTGAAGGAAATCAACCCTGAGTGCTCACTGGAAGGACAGATCCTGAAGCTGAGGCTCCAATACTTTGGACATCTCCCGAGAAGACTCCCTGGAAAAGACCCTGATGTTGGGAAAGTGTGAAGGCAAGAGGAGAAGGGGACGACAGAGGACGAGATGGTTGGACAGTGTCATCGGAGCTACCAACATGACTTTGACCCAACTCCGGGAGGCAGTGGAAGACAGGAGGGCCTGGCGTGCTCTGGTCCATGGGGTCATGAGTCAGATATGACTTAACGTCTAAACAGCAAATCTACAATTCATGTGCGACACTCTAAAGAGCTTCTGAAAGTGCTCTTGACCATGTTGTGCCTGACTTTTCAAAATGGCCGTAGGGTCCTGGGATACAAATACAAAGCCAACCTGCACAGAAAGACTGGTATTTTTATACTTTTATTAAAAAATACAAAAGAAATGGATCACAAACACTGGTGTGAAAAGACAGACTTTTAAACTCAGTGTTGTTTGAAAGTGCATCATTATCCCATGCTACAGTATCCCCAAAGCAAGGAGTCAACAGCACCCAAGAAAATAAATACATTCACCCCTTGGTTCCTGATTGGGCAACACAGGAAGAGGCTCAGTAGTTCATGGGAAAGAGCTCCAGGGTCATGCTGAAAGTTTCCGGCACATAATTGAGAGATGGAGCTGAATTATCCACAGGCTCAAGTGTCCATTTCAGCAATGCGACTTAATATTCACATATTTAATAACAATGCATTACACATCAAAGAGTTATTGAATTGGCAGGAAAAAAGGGAATCCTAAATGTAACTACAAAATGTCACGAACAAAATTTAAGAGCTCCAGTTCACATGATAGATGTTCAAAATCTTTACTGTAACTGCTTCCGGAGAGATGAGTCGGCAGGAAAAGCTACAGTATGTTGGCAACATTTGCATGTTCTTAAGGATATAAAACTTCTCATGCTCCTAATCTGGATGTTAGTGCTAAAACCAGAGTGCAATATTCAATATTTTGAAAAGCAGAGATGATGAAGTGAAACTCAACTTGTTCTGACACTACACATGCTGGATATATAGAATGCAATTGCTGTAAAGAATTGCATTCTTTACAGGAATTGCATTGCTTCAACCTTATTTATAGTGCAGACTTAGAGGTGTCTGTGTAGGGTTAAAAGGTGCTCTGAAATCCATGAGGACTAACTGTACTGTAACAGCACGTCCAGCCTGAAAAGGACCCTGGACAGATGTACTCCTTAAAAACATATGTCTGCATCCTGTTGTTACAGCCAGGCTCCCAAGAACACACCATCAAGACATATTACTGCACTGCTAACAGTAAGAACTTCTACCCTAGGAGGCTGATGTAAACTACAAACATGTTTTCATTCAAAGTATCAAAATGTGCTCTTCTGGACGTGGGGGATGAGAAGAGAAACACTGGTATCCTGACTCTGTCAGAAAACATAAGATGCAATATTCTCTTGCTGCCTGCCCTCCTTCCTAGCAGACATACTGATTATTGCAATTGGCAATAATTTCCACTTTCCTCTCCTTAGTCATTAAGGTCAGATTCCTTAAACTAACATACTCTTGCAGTTGTCTGATTTACTCTGGCTGGATCTTCTCGTAAGCATCAACCACAAGATTCTGCCAAACTTCAAAAAGACATGATGTTAACCTATAGTATGTCTGCACTTCAGCAGGTTAGGTACATGGAAATATTTAGGCACAAGCCAACCCTTAGACTCATGCTTACATTTTCTTGTGCATGTTGATATTTTGCAGATGACCAAGATAAGCTGCTTAATTTCAGCCATTCAGCAGACATCCTTGTTGTTCCAAAAACTCACTTTTACGGTGGTAGCATATATGAGCATGTTACTTCTCTGTTTTCAGTTCAAAATGACTTGTATGGTTTTGTTGGGATCTTTCATTTCCAAACTGGAATCAGTAGTTTTAATGGTGAGCTGGAGGATGTGCAGCACAGGGCTGGCGCTGAAAATCACTGCATCCATAGCCACACGCCCAGGAACTCCAAAGTTGGTGCTTTCTGTCACAACTCTCTGATCCACAGAAGTGCTCTTTCAAGGCTTCTCCTTAAAATGTCATTTCTCCCGCAACACACAAACCCCAGCATCACAACGTTGGGTCCCCAGTGATGTCACCACTTCCCAGCTGTCAATGATAGGGTCATAGCATTCAATACTGCTCAGGAGTGAATTCCCATCATACCTATAGGTAACAGAGGGTTAGAGATTAAACATAACTGGAGTTTAGAAATTTTGGATGTAGAAGAGATTAATTTTATCAGTTAATAAATGTCAGTAGTTTGGGAGGGACAGCAAAACCACCTATGCTAATTAAGATGAAGTACAGCTCCTGTATCTTTAAGAGATCAAGGCAAGATAAACTGCCATGTCTGTCTTTGCTGATGCTAGGACAATCAAACAAAGGCCACATTATATTTTTATAGCAAACCTCCATGTCTGGACAAGGCCAAATGTCTTCTATAATACAGAAATTGTACCAGAATGTTCACCTTGTTGTGTGTTTCAGCAAGCTATTTTCCTTTGCCTCGTGCCCTGCTGTCTTATTAAGAAAACACTGCACTGTAGTGGTTTTGAAAGTTGACTAGATTTTTCTTTTATTTTTATGATTTTCACTGGTGCTTTCTTTGCTATTGTTTGCTTGATTTCATTGTCTGTTAATTGCACAGAATAGTGCATCACATTAATGGGGCAATATATCAGTCCTTCCCTTCTAATATTCAGGAAACACATTAAAACTTTGCTTTTCAGGGAGGCATTTCATGATAGCCTCCCTTTATAATTGTTGGTCATTCAGTTTTATTTTGATGATTATACCCTTTATCCTTTATCTCATCTGTTTGTGGCCATCCTGATTTTAGATCTGTTATTTTGTTATATAGATATATCTTATTTTATATTTTTGGTTTGGATGGAGTTTGGCTTTTCTTTGTATGTTTACTTTACTGCTGAAACTGCCCAGAGTAGTGGAAAGGCCACTAGATGGTGCAGTATAAAAATATAATGAATGAATAAATTAATAACATAAATTGCATGTGTTTGGCACAAAAGTAGTAATTCTAACATTACAGAACATAACTTTATACCTGAATATGAAAGAAAATCAATGAAAATGACTCAAGTATAATCCCTAAGAACAGGACTGGGCAGAAAATGAAGTAACTGCATAAATAAGATGGTCTTTCCAGCTCTTCTCTGAGAAAGAAGTAAAAGGAAACACACTAAGCAATCTGACTAGAACAATACAATGTGCAGGATATGCATAGCATGAAAAGCTTGCCAGTTGATTTCATGGCAGAGACAATTTGGTGAAATGTTTAGCCAATATCAGAGCAAAAATGAAAACAGAGGCTGGATAAAACTACACAATGCACACAGTCTGCTTCTGATCTGTGCCTTCAGAAAACTGTCTTTGTGGAGCCTGGAAGGATGCAGCAAAAAACCCGAGTCTTTCTGTTCCCTCATAGCTCACACATTAGCTTTGTTTCGTGGTTGGTTGTTAGGAAATAAACTTGGGGTTAGTCTGCATTCTGACTACTCAGATATAAAGCTTGGAGGGGACTGCTCACTTCTAATAGTCTGCAAAGTAAGGCATCTGATTTGACCCAGAGTTAACATGCCTGCATAGTGGAGAAAGCTTCAGATATGGATATTCAGGCCTCATCCAGCAGAAGAGTCTTAGTTTGCTTACCCTGCTATGGCGTAAAGCCTTCCCCTCAGCACTGTTGCACCCACATAACAGCGGGGGGTTGTCATGCTGGTCACTGTTGTCCAAGAATCTGTGCGAATATTATAAGCTTCCACAGAGGAGAGATGTGCTGTTCCATCAAACCCTCCAACCACATAAATATGATCATTCAGCAAGGCTACGCCAGCTCCTACCAAGAGAAACCACAGAGAATGACACTAAGGTAAGTGAGTGTCAGTCAGATAGGCATGTTTGCAAACATCTTAGTGGTCTTTTTGTGCTCATACATTCTTCCTTGCATTACACGTAGCTGAGCAGCATCATTTGAGTCATACATGTGTTTTTATAAACAAACAAACAAAAACATTCAGTAAACACGGTGCTACTACAGTATTTGTCTCCAAGAAGTGGCCTGGATTTCTTGAGATCTCTGTTGTTGGTGTGGCAGCCCAGCTGGCCCTGCTCCCCTGGCATGGTGGCTCCATATGGTGACCAGGGAGGATGTTTGGGCATACCAGGAGGCTGACGCAGGTTGGGGGAGGGGTATGTATGTGTGTGTTAATCAATTGTTTATGCTTTGTAGTTACATTTTGGGGCTATAGGAGTTATACATGGATTTTAAATTACACAGGGGTCTGGTGCCCCAACCCCAGAAATGTTGACAGGAGAAGTGTACTGTTGCAACTCCCGTGTCTTTAGTATCCTACTGCTAAGGTGACAGAGGAAGTATAACACAACCGACAGCTATTCCTGAACCTGAACTATAATTGTGAACAAGACAGCGATGTTGATTTAAAATGTTAAAGAAAAATACACAGTTAAAATGTCCCACCAAACTGCTTCTTACTGTTCTTAAGTAATGTGAAGGAAGACATAGTTTATGTGATGAGGATTATTAAAATATTACGGTGCTAGGAATGGTGTCAGAAATAAAAGGTTTGTTACAGATAAGACTGGCAAAATCTGAATGCAGCTGCTTTTGAAGAGTAAGGTTGCATGGAAAAAACAAATAATTATTTTTCTTAATCACTACTACACTGACATTTCTGTTACCTAAAGATTACCAACAAAATCTCTATAACTGCTGGTAAAGCCTAGCAGTAAACCAGATTTATGCATTTCATTCTATAGCAATCCATCCTGATAGGAAATCTCACCTGAGCGTTTAGTGGCCATTGGAGTGACATTTGTCCAATGCCCAGTGTGAGGATCATATCGCTCCACAGAATTTAAAATGTTCAGACCATCATAACCACCTGAAAACACACAGAGAGTCAACAAATAAATGTATTGGTATATGCAACATGCATACAGGAAAAGGAAAGGGAACTCTGATGCCATCTGGCTCAAGTGGGGTGAAAGACTTTGACACACAAAACAGATGAGATAAAGAGGCAAACTTACAATCTCACTAGCATGCAGATTTTATGAAATAAAAATTGAGCCCAGTCCTTTTTTCAGCTTCCTTCTGATGAACTAAGTTCTCAATAATGTGGAATTAAGGAATTATTTTTGCTGACAAAGATACTTGGTTACAACTGACAGAAAGAAAGCTTTATGCTTTACAAGCAAGGCTGTCAGGTCATGAATACCACACAGTGAACCCAAGCCAGAATGACCCAAGGAGGTGGCACTTCAATGCTTTTTTCTTCTAAATGATTGCTCATGGGAGGTACACAGTGTGGTGCAGTGGATACAGAGACACATTAGGATTCTGGAGACCTGGATTTGAATTCCTGCTCATCAATGGATACTCACTAGTGGAAAGATGCCATTAGTAAAACCACTCCTTAAATATTACTTACCTTGAAAATCCTACTAAGGTGGTTGTAAGTTGGTTCTGACTTGACAGCACATAACACATACACAACTAACACAGCTCTTAATTACTTAAATAAGGTCTGAATATATTAGTTAAATCATTCCAAAAAGTTAAAAGAAAATAAAATTAAAAAAACCTGAAGTAGATATTCCTATGAAACTATCAAGCTAGAATTCCACTGCCAGTTTATGCTTATGTAAGATAAGTCATAGAAGTCTCAGTGGCAAATTCCTTCTCATTAAAAAGGTTTTGTTCGCATTCCTTGGGAACACACCCAAATTTTATGCCCAAGAAAACTGCCAGCACATTTTTAATGAGCAGCAGTTTGCTGCCAAGACTTACGTGAATTCTCCTATGCAAGGATAAATTAGCGATATAATTCTGTCCACAATCTAATTTGGATATTGCTATCTTCAGTTATCAGGCCAGCTCTTATTGTGATGATAAACTCATAAGTATACAAAAAAGTAAACAAAAATTAAAAATTGATAGGATAGATAGCATTTCTTAAAACAAAACCAAGCCAATCTTAAACTTGGAATTCTGAAACTAGAAGTATTTTGGAGAATAATGTTTTCCTATTTTATATGATAACTCAGAGCAGAACAGTACCTACAACTAATGGGATACTTGCAAGTATACTTCCTAATCATAACATTCTTCTACAGCCTTTTCTCCAGACTATAGCCCAAATGCTGGTACATACCAAATCAGAAAAGACATTAAGGTTATACTTACCAAGACAGTAGATAACATTATTAGCAACAACCAATCCGGCTCCTTCTCGTGCTGTCTGCATATCTCCCAACATACTCCACTGATCAATGTTAGGATCATATCTTTCCATACTTGTATGGCGTCGACTTCCATCAAAACCTCCAGAAACATAGATCATGTCTGCAACACATACCAGATTATGAACTAGATTCGTAGAATTGAATTACAAGGCCTGCCTTTGGCTAGATGTCATTTGATTCACCTTTATTTCCAAAGAACTAAGGTGGCTTACATCATAAAAATATAAAAATTAAATACAGTTTTAAAAGACTATAAAAGCAATAAAGACAAAGGGTTAAACAATTCAAGAGTACTTTAAACTGAGCAGAAGAAAATAAGAAGCCAATAAAGCTGACCTAACAATCAAGTTATATTCTAAAAAATAAATAAATTGTAATTATAAGTCTGCTTATAATACATATGTGCAGCTTCTAAACATCTTATAAGAGTAGCTGCATGTATAGCCTCATGTGGAGCATGCTCCAGTAGTAGTGATATATATCACAGTATTAAAAATAGTATTTTAGAAATACGTAATTTCTTAGCCAAGTAAGAGAGACGTATCAATTCCTTCAAGTTTTATCTTAATGCAACTGGATCATTTACAAGACTGAGAAGAAGGATGACAATGTTTCATTTAGTATTTACAGTGGTGCCTCACTAGACAGTTACCCCGCATGACAGTTTTTTCGCTAGACATTGACTTTTTGCGATCGCTATAGCGATTCGTAAAACAGTGATTCCTATGGGGGAATTTTGGCGAACAATGTTTGGTCCCTGCTTCACAAACCAATTTTCACTAGACATCGATTTTGACAGCTCCCTCCATGCTTGCAAAATGGGTGTTTTCGGGACCTAAGCTTCGCAAGACAGCTATTTAAACAGTTGATCGGCGGTTCGCAAAGCGGCTTTCCTATGGCTGATCTTTGCTAGACAACGACAATTCTTCCCCATTGGAACGTATTAAACAGGTTTCAATGCATCCCAATGGGGAAAATGCTTTTCTCTAGACGATGATTTCGCTAAACAGCGATTTCAGTGGAACAGATTATCTAGCGAGGCACCACTGTATCTTCCAAATAAGTATAAATTAATTCTTTTAAAACCTGTCTTGATGAACCTAGATTGCTTAAAATACTGACTAGCAGGGAGACGATAAATTATTAGAAAACATTTACCTCCCAGAGTGGTTGCTCCTGCTAGGCCCCGTCGAACATTCATGGGAGCCACAGAGTACCATATACTATCTTCATCAGAGGTATAATCCAAGCACTCTACAGAACTGAGACGAGAACGACCATCATAACCACCTATTACGTATATCCGATCATGCAAGGAAACAGTGGCAACGTAGCGTCTTTTACGGCTGATACTCTATGCAAGGTAAAAGAGAAAAATAAGAAACTAATAAATGCTGTCATCTGTAACCATCATTGTCTCCTGCAATTTCCTTGAGCCACTACTGAGAAATATAAAGAAGCTATCACTCTAGACAAGGTATTGGAAATCAAAACAGAAAAAAGTGACAGGGCTTATTATTTCTATGTATCTAGCTCATCAACAACAGAGCTACTAAATTTCAAATATCTGCTTCAACATACAGTTAACAGTTCTGTCACGTTATCCTGCATGCACTAAAAAAAGTCCCCAACTGAAAGGAATGGATCCGTAAGGAAGCGAAAAAGTATTTGACTTTTTGGATTGTCTTGCCAGTGTCCTGGCAGTACAAGCAGATTAAAGCTGCATGTGGGACATTTCTGATCCTTCATCTCAGACTGCAGTACACAAAATATCTTCCCTACAGGGGTATTATTTGTATGGCTACAACACATTTGACATACATTCTCTCAATAATCTTTAAAGCTACTTTATAAGGAAGGATGCTCAGCCTTGGGGGCTGAGGTGAGAAATAGATTCACTTAAGATCTCCTGGCAAAACTGGGAGACAGAGCTTAAATTTGAACTCAGGATTTCCTAATTTATACTTCATTTTTTTTTCAAATTTAGAAGTTTTAAAAAAGCAATGATGAAGGACTGTGTGACTTGCAATTTAAAAAAAGTTTTTTTTGGATTGCAAGTCACACAGTCCTTCAACACTGGCTATGCTGGCTAGGGATGATGGGAGTTGAAGGCAATTCTATTTTCCATTTCTATGGTGATTACAGTTAGGGACAGAGTGAGAGAGGCATGTTCCATTGTGTATATCCTAGAGCTGATGTGTAGGAAACTGCTTCGTTGTTGTTTCCTTCTTAAATCAGAGAAGCATCACTGAAAATCCTTCCTATGCCAGATTAACTACCCACAAGGTTCAAAACATATCCTTTCTATTGCTGTGGGGCAGGTACCAAGGAACAAGCAATCTGAAAGAACAAACAATGGACAGAGACAAGGGTCAAGTACTGCTTCACCTACTGGCTCTCTGCTCTAAATTCCCTCCTGCCTAAGGGACTTCAAGGCACCTGTTACATGCAACAGACAGTAACCTACAGACAGCATCCTAGTAAGAAGAACCAGGCTGCCCAAACATGTTTGGCACGAACAGCAGAGATGGGCATGAACCACCGGTTCGGTGGTTCATGCCAGTTTGGCAAGTGGCCAAACGGGTTCCACGGTTTGGTGCCCTGCCACCTCTGGCAAGCGCCCACTCAGAGGCAGTGCCTGGAGGAGGCAGGGCAAGTGAATTCAAGGCACTGCTTCTGAGTGGGTGTAGCATTCAGCCCTGCCCTCACCTGTCCGTCACAGCTGGGCAGTGGAACATCAGCCAATGAGGGGACGGAAGGTGGTGCAGAAGGGGGAGGAGCTGGAATATATAAAGGGGTGTATGATGAGGGAGAAGAGAGATTAGGGAGAGATTTTGTGAGCGTTAGTGATGAGTGTGTCAATGGGCCTGTGAGCCAAATAGTCAGTGAGGGAAGAGTCTGTGTGTGTCATTGAGTGAGAGACCTTGATTAACATTTTGTGATTTACTTACTTTATTTTGTTAAACCAATAAACCCGTTTTTGTTTTGAAACAACACTTGTCTTTTTAAAATATTGAATAAAGTTAGTGGCAGCAACTGAAGAAGAAGAGTGAGCACTCCTGGAGGCCTGAGTTGGTAGAGGCTTCAGTGTGCTCGCAACAGTGGGTGCCTGCCCGGGGTGGGTGTGATGCCGAAGGGTGGAACATCTGTTCAGCCATTGGCCAAACTAATGGTTCATGCCCATCTCTACTGTAAAACATTTGACAAAACAATTACATACTGGTAAGAAACTCCACTCCTGTGTCTTTGGGTCATACTTCTCTACCACATCGATTGGTGACTGCTGACTTCCGAAGCCCCCGATTACTAACAGAACCTCATTGGCACCTGAATAAAAACAGACCACTGAACTGTTAATGCTCCCAGTACATGAACAAGAATACAGTGGTGCCTCAACTTACGGGCGTCCCAACATACAACCATTTTGAGTTATGACCAGCTCCGGCTGCAAAATTTTGCTTTGACTTGTGGCTGGAGCTTCGAGTTACAACCAGAAAAAGGCAGGGAAAAAAGGCAGGGGATTCAAATTGTTAACCCTTGGTGGCGAAGAGGCTGCTTCTTTGTAGCTCTTTCGCCCCAGCGGTTAGAGAGTGTGCAATCAGAGAAGGCTTCGGATTGCCTGGTAATGTAAGGTGCTGCTTTCTACTTTTCAAAAACTGTTCTGGATGGGTTTTGCAGTGTGGTTTGGGCTGGGTGGTGCGATTATGTTTTTATGCTGTGATGGGTCTTGCAGAGTCTCCCCCATTTCCAATGGGTCTTGTAGGGTTTGTTTGCTTTGCGCATAACTGAAGGGTCTTGCACAGTTTGCTTGCTTTCTGCTTTACTTTTTACCCATTTCCATCAGTCTTGCACGGTTTGTTTGCTTTTTGCTTTGCTTTTTTTTTACATTTCCAATGGGTCTTCCAGTTTTCTGCTGAGTATTGTCTAAACCCTATCCTGGTTCTAGTTGTGCTGCAGTACTATTCATCTACTAGACATATTATCTACATGTTTCTTTTTTGCTTGTATTTCTAGTAGTGATTTTTTTATCCTTATCCATCATATATTTTCTCTCAAACAACCTTATTTCTTCCTCAACCATTTTCATGTTTTTCTGTCTTTTTAAAAAATCATGATTCCCTAATACTAAATTCTCTCATCACAACTTTCATAGTATCCTATATATTGCCCTGACAGTCTTTGTCATTAATTTTCCGTATTTCCAACATTTCTTTTTCTATTTTATCTATTATATTCTTTATAATCACATTTAATTTTAATGTCCATATTCAATAATGTGTGACCAGCTGCTTATATAATACATACATCTGTATTAATCATTCCCAAAATTAAATTTTTAGATACAGATATGTAATCTATCCTAGAGGGACTTCTATGAACTGTCTCTAAACATCTCTCAGATCAGATCTCCTTATCATTCTAGTAAAAACCATAACATTATTATTTATAACACTATTATTTGTCTCAATTTTAGTAGTTTTATTTATCTTTCTCTTTATCCATAACCATAATAAAAAACCCTGCCATTATTACAAAGCTTTTCATTATCTCTTTCAATTCTTTAAATGCTTCTTTTAAAAAACTAACTTGGCTTACACCCAGAGAGTAAACATTAATCAAAGTATATTCTTCTCTCCCCATTACTCTTTGTAATATTACATATTTACCTTTATTATGTGTTTTCATTTTATTCACTTTAAAATCATATGTCTTAGAAATAATGGTTGCAAACCCTCTTGACCTTGAATTTCCATAAACTTTTCAATAAATACCAGACCAGCTCAATTTAAGTTCATTTACTCCTTTTGTTTGATGAGTATTTAAAAATATTATGTCCACTTTATCTTTATTTAATAACACTTTTTTTTCCCTTTATGACATCCACCAAGCTTTTTACATTTAGAACTGATATTCTTACCGTATTTCCCCCAAAATAAGACAGGGTCTTATATTAACTTTTGCTCCAAAAAACGCATTAGGGCTTATTTTCAGGGAATGTTCTCTTTTACAATCACGTCATCTTCTGGTTGCTGCACAATGGTGGAGGGTGGGTTTCACTTAACTAGGGTTTATTTTTGGGATAGGGCTTATATTACGAGCATCCTGAAAAATCATACTAGGGCTCATTTTCAGGCTAGGTCTTATTTTCAGGGAAACAGGGTAGTCTTTTAACCACATTTATCTACCACTGTTTCTTCCTTTTGATCCCATATTCTGAAAATCACTCTAAATTTATTTGTTTGTTTATTTATTTATTTTATTAGATTTATATACTGCACATCTAGAACAGGTCTACTCTGGGCAGTTTACATATAATATAAAAATAAACTAAGATAAAATCCAGATTAATCCAAGATGGGAAAGGAAAAAAGAAAGGGGGAGGGGAAGAAGAAGAAGAGAAAAGAAAAAGAAGAAAATGGGAGATAGGCTAGGTAATGGCTGTAGGAAAGGCCTGCCTGTATATCCATGTCTCCAAGTTAGTCTTGAAGGCCCTCAGCGAGGGAGCCAGGCAGATCTCAGCAGCTAAGTTGTTCCAAAGCCGAGGGGCCACTGCCAAGAAGGAATTATTGCTTGCAGACGACATAGAAAACAAAATAATCTCTCTTCTGTCTTTCTCTTAGCTAGAGAACTGTTTAGTTTCCAGATGTGAAGAACAGGGTTACATGTTGCACATGCCATGAGAAACAGCATCTGCATACTCAGGTACTGTCACAAAATTTGAGAATATGACTTTTTTTTCATCATAGATTTAACGTTCCCTGGTAGCACCATCCAGTGATTTAGAGAAGACTGTTAACAGTTGATTGAAAGTTCTAGAGTGGGAAGATGAAATGTAGAGAGTAGATCTAGGCAGGGATGGTGGTTGCTTACTGTAGTACCTAGCAGGAAATAAGTCATGCTGCAGTGCATGGCACTCAAGTCCGATCCTAGCCATATGAAGGTCCTTTCCAGTTAGGTGCTACTTGCCTCACTTCTAAAGCTGATAAGCCACAATGGAATTAATTAAAGGAAAAGTTTCCCATTATTCATTTTATCTCTTGGCATCCACTAGTCACAGCTAGGCAGAGGTTCTTCTACAAAGCTATCAGGGTTAACTACTGATTCAGTCGGTACTCCCACTAGTATCTCACATCCTGGTGGGTTAGTAGAGTTCTCCAAGCCTAACCAGCTCTTTGCACCAAAGAATTAACATTTCCCCAGCCTTCCTGCAACTCCTCGCCTCCTTGCTTGGCTTTTGGCTGCTTCCCCCCCCCCTTATTTTCTGGCTTAACTTGTTGTTTTTATTAACATTCTCCTCCCACTTGTGATTCTGGTGTCATTTTTGAAGCTGAACAAGCATGTCCCAAGTATCTGGTATCTGTGTTTGCACCTGGGCAATTTTTTCTTTCAATCTGCTTCATACCTCTCTCCAAATTAACTCTATTATCCAAATCCTAAAACCTTACTGACAATCTATATTTTATCTAAAAGATAATTTTTGAAACAAAAAACAAAGAGAAAAATCCAGTTTAAACAATTCACGAACAAATCTTTTTGACAGAAAGATTCAAATAAATCTCCCCTAGGGTTAACAGACTGATCTGACAATCTTCTACCAACAGCTCCTTCTTGATCCTCTTGAATCTCTCCTTCAGAAGTACTAGACTGGTCTTACTTTTGCTCATCCAGATTGGCCCTCTCTTTTTCCCATTGTAGATCATCCATCAAACCATGAAACAAATTTAAACCTTGATACATTATCATCTTGCTGTATTTTCCAGCATATATTGTTCTCATATACCAAGTACTCCCAATTGTATCTTATTTTATTCTTTGCAAGGAAGATGGTGACCAGTTTCATGTTCCACCGCCATGATACCATTTAATGACAAAGATACTGGTACACCTGGATCAGTACATCCTTATACAGCAACTGTCCAACATTTTCTCTAGTCACTTTCATGAACACTTCTTTCTTGAAGAAATTTGTAAACCTAATAATATATTGGGGAGTCACTGGCTTCCCCTGCTCCCTCACTTGAGTCTCACTGAGTGGAACTTCTCCAAATATTCTTGAATCCAACTTAAATTTGAAGCCACTATCTTGTTCCATTCCAATATCACATCTCTAAGATTTAATCCATTGCTAGCACCACCTTCTGGGAATTGACACAACTTTACATTTTCCCTCTGTCCTCTATCTTCCAAATCAATCATATTTTAACAATTTCAGAAAACCTGATTTCATGCCAATATCATTTTCCAGCATAAGCTTTAACCATTTTATCATTTTTTCACTTTTGAGCTCAGTGTTATCTGATCTTTAACCTCTGATATTGTTTTAAGTAATTCTGCTTTGTTACTGTCTTCTGCGCAATTTTCTCTATTTGTTTTAATTGATTACTCCACTTGTTTCATTTGTTTTTTTCATTTTCCCTTTTTATTTTATCCAATTCACTTTTAAGTCCTTCTTTAAGCTCCAAGTAATTTTTCTCCATTATTTTCTTACATTCTGCTAGCACTGTCCTCTCTCTCCATTTCACTTTTCTTACTGTGAGTCTCCTCTTTATACTTAGCTGTTTGTTTCAAAGACTTACTCCTTCCTGTAACTCAACAAGCTCCTCTTGTTATTAGCTCTACGTTAATCATAGACTGGAAATGGCCCCCCATATGTTGTAATCATGCATGAGACACTGAATATATAATGATGATCAGCAACTCTCATCCATAATCCATGTAAGATACCCGTTTCTAAATGAGTGACACCTTTCCTACAGAAACAGGCACAACCTTTAATTTACCAAGTCCCCAAAGAATTGCAGAAGTGCAACAAAATATAATGACCCTACTAAACCGTCAACAGAATACATAAACACAAGAAATACTGTACCATGCCCAATCATTAAGGTGTGCCTTCCTCCGTCACTTACCCAAACGTGCTCTGGTCCTGGGGCCCTGCATTTGGCTCCGAAGCTCTGGCCTAAGATGAAACTTCTTAGCTTCATCTACAAGATCCCTGCACTGCAGACTACATCGAATAAAAGGCTGGGGGGAGACATATAGCTATTATACATTTTTTATGATGTTTATACAAGTTTTACAATTCTTGAAAGCAACCATACAACTCAGGGACAGAAAACATCTGGCCTTTCGGATACTTGGTGCATTAACTTTCATCAATCTAATCCAGCATGGATAAGATAAGGAATGGTAGAGTCTATAGTACAAAACATTTGGAGGACCCAAGTTTCCTCACCTCCGCTATCACTACTAAAACACTGAAAATGCTGTCTATAATAGTGATAAAAGTGCAAAAAATAAATAAATACAATCTTGCCCTTATCCAAACAATATCTTACACTGTACTGTTAGGAAAGAGGTTGATCTATGAAGAGCACTCTGTTCCGTGCTGGCATGAAAGCTGAAAGCAATCTAGCATGGCTTACTTTAAAGTTCCTTAGTTTCAAAAGTTACTATTTGACATTTATATGATGTTTATTCAATGATGTCTGCACCAGGTTAATTCCACCTCATGTGAAAAACTCACTTGGAGATTGCACTGATTTAACAAGATCAAAGATGTATATGGTGCTACAATATATATCATATACAAAAAGAAATCATGCTGGAAGGGAATGCAAAAGAAATCTACAACTCCCATGACTAAAAATGTAACTCTGGTTCTGGAGCCCTTTTTATCAGCTCAATGAATATGAACTTAGAAACTGTACTCAGGACAGGTTTGTTAAATTCATTTGAGCCAATTCTTTCTCCTTGATCGCTGCTTTGTGCCCCAGCCAAACACTGAAGGAATTCTTTTTAAGGGGCAAAAAAGTTGCAAGACATGAAAAAAAAAAAGGATGACAAAGTTCATTTCCAGAAGCAAACTTTTGTACAGGTTTCAGGATTCAGAACAATGGTTGGAATCCTAAATTCTTCCTAACATACTACTGTTCAGTGTGGATTACTGACAAGGTGCCAAGGAACATCTCAGTTAAACAAAATCTGATATATATCTGAAATGCATCCCAGCACCTCATTACTCACCACAAGTTATGCAAACATCAATAGGATTTTGATGAATATACTTTATTGCTTTATTTTCTGAGGACCCAGGTGGAATTTTGCCAAAAACATGACTACTTTCTTGCTAATAGGAAATAACTCTGATGGTAGACCAACACTGCTATAGTCACTGCGGATAGTTTTGATGCTTGTTTGGCATCAAGATTGAACAGAGAGTGGTCTTTGCGCCAAGGCAGAGATGCTATTCACAGAGCACTTCGACTCAACTCCACTCTGTTGTGGAGTTACGCTAGTCAAAATTGCAACTGCACAATCAACTTACAGAGTCTTTGTTGCCTGGGTGGAATGCCTGGCACATTTATGCATGTACGTATAATGTTACATTGATCCTAGACAAAAATGATTCTGGCCAATGTGTGTTAACAGGGAAAAGCAAGGAATGTCATCAAGGTACAGTGGTGCCTCGCATTACGACGTTAATTCGTTCCAGCGATATCGCTGTGGAACGAAAACATCATAATGCGAAATAAAAAAGCCCATAGAAACGCATAAAAACCCGATTAATGCGTTCCTATGGGCTTGAAACTCACCGTGCAGTGAAGATCCTCCATAGCGCGGCCAGTTTTGATGCCCGTGCAGCGAGGAATCCATCCCAGAAAAGAGCGGGGAGCCATTTTCTTTACCCAGCGGCCATTTTGAAACGGCTGATCAGCTGGCCGAAAATCGTCGTTTTGCGAGAATTGGTTCCCGAAGCAGGGAACCGATCATTGCAAAGCGAAATTCCCCCATAGGAAACATTGTTTTGCGATCGCAAAAACTTCGTTGTAATGCGATTTCGTCATTAAACGGGGCGCTCGTCTTGCGAGGCACCACTGTATTTGTTTCACTAATGAAACAGGGTTCAATTGACAAGTTTCAGATTATGGAATTCCTATACTGTGAAGCAGTATTTGTCTGAAGAATGTTTTACATATATCACGGCTAATTAATTCAGAAAAATATCAGGTTTTAATTTAGCAGTGAAACAAATGCACCTATAATCACTAAGTTGCATTCTTCAACACAAGAACACACTAAAAGCGGCCAACATGGTACCCTCCAAATGTTCTGGACTGCAACTCCCATCAGCCTCATCCAGCATGGCAAATGGTCAGGGATTATAGCAGTCCAAAATATTTCTAGTGTACTACGTTTTCCACCTCTTTGTTAACTGTAATTCAAATATGCGTCCTAAGTGAGCTGCTTAATAAAACTTAATGAATCCCACCTCAGTGTCTATGACATCAGTGATATAACGGGGAGTGAGAAGTGGCATGCGCACATATTGCAAAAGCTCTGGTAGGGAGGCTTCACGTTCCTTCTTTGAGTGCTTCACCCAATTAATGACTGCCTCAAAGACCGGCTCTTCAGAATCTACCTGTAAAAGAAAGCATGATATCAATTAATCTTTTGCAACAAATTATTCTGGTTTAGGAAAGAATACTTTAGAGACAAAGCACAGGTCACCTCTCTGGTACTGGAAAGCTGCTATAGTTGATTAAGTAACATGAACCTCTTCTAATGTGTATAAGCAGATCTCTAATGAAAGAAGCATACCTTTATTGTGTAACTATTGCAGCTACTGTGAAACACCCAAGGTGTGATATTACTGAAGGCAAAAGATCAAGCTTGTACCCTGAACATGTTCTCTCTCTTCAAAAAAGACATTTAAACTTTCTGTAGAAAATGAAATGGACATTTCTAATGGAAATTTTTTCAAAACAGAACATTTTCAAATGCCATTATTTTTCCACAGAAAAGTATTTTTATATATGTAATATATATACCGTGTTTCCCTGAAAATAAGACAGGGTCTTACATTAATTTTTGCTTCAAAAAACACATTAGGGCTTATTTTCAGGGGATGTTTTATTTTTTCATGTACAACAATCTACATTTATTCAAATACAGTCATGTCATCTTCTGGTTGCTGCACAATGGTGGAGGGTGGGTTCTCACTTAACTAGGGCTTATTTTTGGGGGAGGGCTTATATTATGAGCATCCTGAAAAATCATACTAGGGCTTATTTTTAGGTTAGGTCTTATTTTCAGGGAAACGGTGTGTATGTGTGCGCGCACACACACACGTGCCATTGGAAATGTTCTCTATTGGAAAATTTATTGGAAATGTTCTCTTTTGGAAAATTTTCCAACCAAAAATGTCCATTTTGCATCTCTGGCTGCAAAAGAGTATTCATTTTCTACAGAAAGTTTAAATGTCTTTTTTGAAGAGAGAGAACATGTTCAGGGTACAAGCTTGATCTTTTGCCTTCAGTAATATCACACCTTGGGTGTTTCACAGTAGCTGCTTGTGACAGTTACACAATAAAGATATGCTTCTTTCATTAGAGATCTGCTTATACACATTAGAAGAGGTTCATGTTACTTAATCAACTATAGCAGCTTTCCAGTACCAGCTGAAAATAAGACAGGGTCTTACATTAATTTTTGCTTCAAAAAACACATTAGGGCTTATTTTCAGGGGATGTTTTATTTTTTCATGTACAACAATCTACATTTATTCAAATACAGTCATGTCATCTTCTGGTTGCTGCACAATGGTGGAGGGTGGGTTCTCACTTAACTAGGGCTTATTTTTGGGGGAGGGCTTATATTATGAGCATCCTGAAAAATCATACTAGGGCTTATTTTTAGGTTAGGTCTTATTTTCAGGGAAACGGTGTGTATGTGTGTGCGCACACACACACGTGCCATTGGAAATGTTCTCTATTGGAAAATTTATTGGAAATGTTCTCTTTTGGAAAATTTTCCAACCAAAAATGTCCATTTTGCATCTCTGGCTGCAAAAGAGTATTCATTTTCTACAGAAAGTTTAAATGTCTTTTTTGAAGAGAGAGAACATGTTCAGGGTACAAAGCTTGTGATATATATATCCAAATATCTATATATTTATCCAAAGTTCTCTAGGCTGATATGCTGCAATTGATCATGTTAAATGGCCTTAATGTAAACTTCTGTAAAGTATTCTGACAACATAAACTTCTTAATGTAAAGGTCTATAAATGATTCTTACAAGATGACAAGTATTGACATAGTGCTCAGTTGCCTATGGGGGAACTGCAAAATAACTTAAGACAACCTCTTCCTGTGCACAATGGAGTTAGCTTCTGGACCAGACCTATACATGGTGTCTTTGTCCTCAATTGACTAAGAAATATACTGCTCAGCTTGTTTGTATTTCACAAAATCTCTGGCTTCTCAATCAGTTACAAGCACAAGTAGTCAAGACAAAATGTGGTAAGTTGTCTGTGTCCACAGACTCACATCCATCTTTAGAGAAACAGAATGTTCAACTAATTATACTGAATTAAATTTTTGTTGACTTGAAATAGAACTGAAAAATAATCCAGAGATTGAGTGAGTGAAGCTGAAAGTATTACAATACTATCTCAGCAAAAGAAAGTTAGACTGTTGATATATTAGGTACAGCTCTCTTCAGGTATGTGTCCTAAAAATTGTGTTCTTTCAGGAGTACTTATTTTTCATTAAATATAAGAGAAATATTGGCATTCTCATTACATTAAATATAGTCAAATAAAAGAATTTCCACATAAAGCTTTGAATGTGTTTAAATATAAAATTTAAACCAAACAGGCTAAACTGGTTAACTTTATTTTGCTTTTTTGGGAAATCCCTCCTTAAGAGTACATTATTACAAGATTATTACTGACTAGGAAAAGGAATTTATTCTTCAAGACATCACTCTAAGAAAAGAAAGCACTCCACAAGAGTTTTCAGCTTGACCGATTGCATACAATGTGGGTAAGTAGGTGGGAAACATACATTAGTATAGTTAGAAGAAGAACAAATACAACTGGCTTACATGTATAAAACTCTGGAATGAATTTAAAAATTGTCACTACTAATTTGAATTTAACTTGCTAACTATAGACATGAGAAATTTGCCTTTATTTTCTAATGAAAGCTGGGAGACTCCAGATTTGAACAAGTATCTCATTACTTATTCCCTGGCTTGCGTTTGATTTTGACTTGTCACATGGTAGAACTGAGCGTCATCTCCCTCATTACTTTGTACAGTAACAAGCTGCATTCTACCTGAATTTCATCACATTTGATTAGCTTTTCTACTTCCTCTTGGCTTAGAAGAATAAACTCTTCATGTTGAACAACATCTGGAAAGTGCTTTTGGCTGAAGACCTCAGCTGCTTGCATTAAGTCAACACAATTGTGTGTTTCAGCAAAATCTCGGATTCCCAAACAGTTGGATGGATCCAGTTGACTTTCCAGGAACTCACAGCAAGCCTGTTTCACTCCTGTGAAAAAAAAAGATTGCAATTTATATGACAGGTGCCCAAGCCATTGTTCTGAAAAGTATTTCAAAGATCCAAGTTTTGTTTTTATATGGGAGAAAAGTGAGATACAGTGGTGCCTTGACTTATGAATTTGCCGTATTTTCCATGTATAAGACTATACTTTTATCTAAAAACTTTAGGCTAAAAATTGAGGGTCGTCTTATACATAGCTGAGGAGGAAAAAAACAAGCGGAGGGGAAAGCAGGGATCAAAGTGATCTTGCAGGGCTTTGTTCCCTGCTTTCCCCTCCACTTGCTAAGCCTTAGCAAAAGGAAAGCAGGGATCAAAGTGCTGCATGATCGCAGCACTTTGACCCCATGGGGCTTAGCAAAAGGAGGGGGGAATGATCAAAGCAATCCCATGGCTGTATAAGGGGGAAAGGGATCAAAATAATTGTGCAGTCATGGAATTGCTTTGATACTTTTCCCTTCCTTTTGCTAAGCCATGCGGGGCTTAGCACAAAGGGAGAAAGCAGGGATCAAAGCCATCCTGCAGCACTTCATCCTTTTTACCCTACATTTGCTAAGCCCCACTTAGATTTCTTAATTTTGGGTTACAAATTGGGGTGCATCTTATATACAGAAAAATACGGTAATTGGTTCTGGAACTCCAGTCATAACTCGAAATGGTCGTACGTCAAAGCACCATTTCCCATAAGAATGCATTGAAATGCAATTAATCAGTTCCGGCCAAAGAAAAAAAAATCACCCAAACCCCCCAAACACTGCAAGACCCATTGGAAACACAATTAATCCATTCTGGCTGAGGGGGAGGGGAGAAAACAAACTGTGCAAGATGCTTCAGAAATGCAAAAAAAAAAAAACAAAAACAAAGCATAAAGCAAACAAACCATGCAAGACCCTTCGGAAATGAAAAAAAAAAGCAAAGCAGAAAGCAATCAAACCTGCAAGGCCCATCAGAAATGGGGAAAAAAGCAATGCAGAAAGCAAAGAAACCGTGCAAGACCCATCAGAAATGGGGAAAAAACAAAGCAGAAAGCAAACAAACCGTGGCTCTTGCGGGGTTTGTTTGCTTTTTGGGGGGAAAACCCCAAAATGCAAACAAACCCTGCAAGACCCACTGGAAATGGGGGGAAAACACCCAAAAAGCAAACAAACCCCACAAGACCCATCGGAAATGGAAAAAAAAAACCACACAAAAACAAACAAACCCCTCAAGACCCATCATAGCATAGAAACATTATCCCACCACCCAGCCCAAATCCATGCTGGAAAACCCACCCAGAACAGTTTTAAAAAGCAGAAAGCAGCACCTTACCTTACCAGGCGGTCTGAAGCCTCCTCCAATCGCCCTCACTCTAACTGCTGGGGCGAAAGAGCTACAAAGAAGCAGCCTCTTCACCTACCAACGGTTAGCAATTTGAATTCCCTGCCTTTTTCTGTTCGTAACTGGAAGCTCCAACTGCAAGTCGAAGCAAAATTTTGTGGCCGGAGCTGGTAATAACTCGAAATGGTCGTATGTCGGGACGTTTGTAAGTCGAGGCACCACTGTACTATATATGGACATAATGACCATCTTGAATTCAAGAGAATTTAAGGTTGTTGAAGACTATCCAGCATGCTAGAACATGCTGGCTTATTGGTCTCATTTGCAGCAAGAGTGGTTTAGGTCTCTGGTTTCTCTATTGTGGCATGTAAGCCAATAATATTGCTCCAAGACTCTAAAAGGAAAGACTCTAAAAGGGGGCTTTCCTTGTTCTGACTAAGCTGAACAACTTTGGCAAGTCTTGTGGGTGTGTGGGTGTGTCGATGTTCTGCTCCTGGGAGCCTCTAGATGTTGCATAGGGTACCCAAAATACTAAAACCGAAAAAACAGATGTGACTGGAAGTCCACTTCCAGTTTTGAAAAACTGGTATTTAGAGAGTATTAAAAGGTGCAGGATGCTGTAACCTGTTTTAAAGGTAAACAGGCAGTCACCATTTCTGCTGGAAAAACAGGAATGCGGAGGCTATAAAAACAGTCTTGGAAGGCTGCAAAAGGAGCCTTGAAGGTCCCATGTTGTCCACCCCAATCTAAAATGCTATTTTTTGCAATACCTTTCAGCTGAAGCAGACAGGCTGCTGGGAGCAACTCCTGAACGTTTTCCACTGTCACATGAACAGTCTCTGTATAAACAAAGTCCAGCAAAATTTCCATAGTCGAGGCAGTTAGCCCTTGAATGTCCACATAAGGTTTATCCTTCTCTGAAAGCTGCAAATAACAAGTCAGGAAACTAATATTTTAGTTAATGTGTATTATAGTAATAGTTTGCATTGGGTGTGGAAGCCTAATCTGGAAAGCTCAAGTATAAGCAGTGACTAACAACTGGAAACATTTAAAAAAAAGACCTCACAACAGATTTCAGCAAATGGAAAATACAACAAATGCCTTAGTTTATTCCAGAAAAAAATACTTGTATTCGTGTCATTTAAAAAACACAATTTCCATTGATTCAAACAGGTCTAGGCCCACTCTAACTGTGACTTACTGTGCTCTTTACTTTATGCTGAAGTCACAAAATAGGATGATTTGAATCAATGGAACTTATGGAGGATTTGAGTTACCAAACTGCTATTGAATTAATGGGCTTGCTCTAAAGCAATTTACTATACCAAGCAACAGGATTTTAGCCACTGTTTTCCTCATTTGGTGAAGGGATAATCTGGGAAGGAGTCACCATTTATCAGTTAAATAGCAACTCCGAGCTCAGTGCATGTGAATGAATTTCTATTTTATAAGGGGAAAAACACACATCAATGTTGAAAGTTAAGATGGCAAATCAGCATAATCTTTCAAAGATGAAGTTACTTTCTACTTTCCCCACCCCCAAATTGGCCCACATTAATCATTTTTGGCCCAAACTTCAAAGGAATGTTTTGTAAGATTTGTAAAACTTTCTCTCAGACTATCTGAAGACAGCCCTCCTTGCAAATAAGCAGCTGGGTGGAAATCTGTATGTACAGATTACTAATACTGGGGAAACTGAAGTTATCTCACCTATAATTCTTATTTTGACTTGTGCAATCTCTGATGAGTTCTTAAGAAAAAAAACATAGTATTTAAAGCTTCAAAATATGAATTAAAGTTACATGACATGTACAGTAAATGAATACAAAATAACAAACAAGGCTAATTTTTGTTCCACTAATGGACTAAGATGATTCTCTTGCTGGCAACTTTCATTTCTTGTATATTAATATTTTACAGCAATTTTTCAATCCCAATTTTAGACATATATTCTTAAAAGAAAATCCCACTGTCTTATATACACATGGGCACAGAATTGCACTTATGTTGCACAATATTATATCTCTTTACTCAGAATGAGGCCTCACTGAAGTTGATAGAACTCCCAGAAATGTGTGTGTGCAGAATTTCGGTCTCAATGTTAATTTTGCACTGTTAAATCAGCATTGCAACAACTCTCTTACCAGCAGAAATACAAAGTGTACCTATTGAGCACCTTGCTTACCTCACTGGTGAACATAGCACAGAAGTAGTCACTGCAAGCAGCTAACACAATACGATGAGCTGGAAAGTCTTTCTGTTCCACACGCAGGGTCACATCACAAAGTGTATTACTTTTTCGCAGAGAGTTCATTGCATTGAGAATGGACTTGGCATGAGAATTAGTCATTATATCTTTAGGAGCCATGGTGAGTTATTCCAGATGTTGAGAAAGCAGTTCAGAATACGAGCAATCTGCCAAGAGAAGAATCTGCTTCACTTGAGCCATCTAGTAAACATGAGGCCAAATTTAAGATAAAAGGTGTACTCTTCTAAATGATATAGCTGGATTGTGGCCAAAGCTGCTTTTTTCTGACTAATGATCATTGCTAACAGCCTACTTTTTCAAAGGAGAAATAATGCTCTAATACCATAGTTTCATACCATAGTACAGCTTATTTATTTACTACCACATAAAAGCTAGTAGAAATTAAAGCAATACAACACTTCAATCTAAGACAATACAAAGATTAGGTAAGGAAGGTAAGGCAAGGAAAAAGTGCAGCAATGCTAGTCCAGAGAATCTGAGAGGCCAACCCTTGTGCTCAGAATATAGCCAAAGTCAGACATACAGTTCCAGTGCTCGCTCCTTCCTTCCTTCCTTCCTTCAGCCAGTTTAACATACTGCTCCCCAGCAAGCTCCAGCACTACCCTGGGTAGTTGATAATAAAGTACACAATCAAATAGTTACTGTAATAAAACCATTAAAAATTTAACCATATAAAAACAGAGGATGCCTCAGCAACAGTAAAACTACATAAAATAGAAAATGAGAACAGAAATACAGATAATAGCTAGACAGAGATGTAAGATTACCTCAACTCAACTAGGGTTGGAGTTTCATTCTCCTTATTATCAGTTTTGTTGTTTTCATGTGCTGTCAAGTCGGAACCAACTTACAGCAACTCTAATAGGGCTTTCAAGGTAAGTGAGATATTTAAGGAGTGGTTATACGTGTTTCTCAGTGAGTTTCCATGGTTGACCAGGGATTCAAGCCCTAGTCTCCAAAGTCCTAGTCCATCACTCTATCCACTATACCATACTGGATACCTTATCAGTTACCTGGCTTTAACTGAGAAGTTATAATGGTAACAAACTATGTTGGAGGAATGCTGTGTTTGCCAGTAAACAGAGAAGGGGGATACAATCCCATTTGAGAGACATCAGATTGCACAGCTGTAGAACTCAGACTATCTACAATTTGAAGTACCCAATATTTTTGTGGTGCTAGCCCTGGGAAAGTCCTGGACAATCCCAGGGCACCTCCAGAAGAAGGGAATGGTAAACCAGTTCTGAATATTCTTTACCTGGAAAACTCTGAAAAGGGTCACCACAAGTCAGAATTGACTTGGCACATGATTATTATTGTCATTTAAAGTAGAAAATACAGCACCCTCCAGATGTTTATCTACAACATCTATCAGTCACAGCCAGCATGATCAGGGACTACAGCAGCTGCTTCTAAGATGCCCAAAGGGTCCATGTTGCCTGGTTTTTATTCAAAGCATTTATGGAAATTGCATTAATAATTATCACAAAAACTATGTAATGCAAATCAATGTTGCCATCCTGAACTGCATATGAGGAACCTAGTCTAGGAATTGCTTACCTAGAGCCACTTAGTTTACAGCTGAAATGAGATTTGAACTAGGAACTTTAATTTACATTTCACATTTTTAGGCACGGTATTACAAAGGAGGTTTGTAACACTGTAGAAGGCATTTCCACCATAAATCCTCATGACTATGAATAATTATGATTAAAAATTCCTGGCATAGGCTATTACACCCTTTTACAGTACAAAGCTTAAATGGAATAGATCTAAATACCAAACGGAGGCCATCACCCACCCCAGTGTGAAATATGAAACTGATTAACACAATTTGCAACTTTCTAACCAACCAACCAACCAACCAACCAACCAACCAACCAACCAACCAACCATTGTCTCTGTATTTTGATACCATGTTTAAATGTACTGTATAAAAAATTGCCATGTTATCTCACTCTTATGTCTGTAGAAGTGAATTTTATCCACAAAAGCTCACATTACAATATAACAGTGTCTTTAAAGTGCCACAATGTTTTTGTCTTTTTATTTGTCTTTTCTTCTTTTTATTTTTATTTTATATTTCTCTTTTATTTTTGCCTAATATGCCTGCACAGATTACCTATTCTATAACTATAATATTAGAAATGCAAGCCAATTTAATATTTTATCTAGCCAGGCATAGTAATAATCTAGAACAAAATGCACACTCTTAAAAAGCACAACTTCTCCACATTCAGGCTTCACAATACTCTTAAAACCTTGACTTCTATAATGAAAGGCTCCACCATCATGTTCTGAATATTATGAAATCTTTACTAATATTCATACTTAAACAGACTTTTTATGCATGACTCACTGAGTTTAATGGGGCTTATTCCACAGCAAGTGTGCACATAGTTGCACTACTCAGCATCTAGCAGTTTCCTTTTTCCTGCTTTCATTTTGCACAGGCTTCATTTAGAATTTTAAAACTACATGGTTGATAAGACGACCACAACACCTGGTCTTCCTTTGTCTGTCAGTATTCAGGCAAGTAACTTTTACTGCAGGGAAACCTTTTGCCTTCAAGGTTTTGAACTGCAACTCTCTCAGTCTCTGGCGATGTTGGCCAATACTTCTAGGACTAGAAATCCAAAACATCTATTGGGCTAAAGATTCCTCAGCCCTTCCTTACTGTGTACACAACTTTCACTTAGTGTCTGACTGCAACTAAGTACTGTAACTAAGCTCAAAGACAGAAGAATCTGCAAATAAACAGTGTAAGAGCCCATATCTGCACCACAAACATTAATAATAATATATAGTTAATTTGAAATAATTAAACATTAACAAACGCTACTCCCCAGCATCCCAAGAACTGTATTCTTCTAAGGATGTGGTATGGTGACTCCAAAAGGACCCCGCTCTGCAGGCATTATCAACATGTGAAATAACAGATGCCATTATGTCATTCACAATTAGCAGACTCTATATGGGCATTTGCAACAAGCAAATATTACTTATTTAGCTATTTTCTGTCCTATACCTGACTTCATGGAAGCACAGAAAATTCACTTAAGAACTAATTATTGCCATTCGTATACATTCGGCGGCAGTGTTAAATAGTGGATGACCTTGCCTGATGCAGGATACAGCCACTATCTGTGTAAGAGTCATCTTCAACTCAAGAGCTGAACACACACGCAGGCACATACACCCAACTCAGGCAACGAGTGAGCGAACTCAAGAACCAGCTGTCCGCTCAGATTATACCGACAATACGGACATCACACTCTAGAGTAGGGCAGTGCACTTATTTTTCGGTAAGGGACACCTAGCTATACATTAATAAATGGGAGCTACCTCGGAAAAGCCAACTTCTAAAGAAACTAGCCTCTTCAAGCCCAGCAGTGAGAAAAGGAGGCTGTAATGGAAAGGGAAGCTATCCTGTGCAGTTCCTTACGGCTTTATTTACCTCCAGGTATTTGCCCTGGGGCAGTGGATGCCTCAAGGCATGCAGCGAGTGGGAGGGGACGCTCTAAATTTCTATTTTCTGCTCAGTTGCACGCGGGAGCGGGCCGGCAGTGCCGCATATCTGTCGCCGGCCGCCACCTCCGCCCAACTTCTTCGCCGCCGCCGCCGCCGCCGCGCCCTCCCCGTGAGGGGAGATCTTCGCAACTCCTCCGGCCCACTGGGCCTCCTTCCTTCCTTCTTCCTTCGCATCAGGCGCACACAGATGACGTCACAACGGACGCCAAGCCATAGAATTCAAGGAACTGCTTCTCTCACTTTCAACCCACGTGAAAAAAAGCCTCCGATCTTGTGGAGAGGTTCGAGGAAAACGCAGTGATTAGACGTGGTTGCTAAGCAACACCGAGATTCGCTGTCGCAAACCCCGCGTGGTGGCGGAAGTCTTTTCGGTGGACGGCAAGGCGGACTGACGAGGAGATAGAATTCGCACCGCGCCTTCTTTTGTTGGTGGTTTGCTAAACTGTGTTACTTAGAAAACCCAGATTCCGCAGAAGAGGAGTATGCTGGACATCTGGGCCTTTATGTAGATGTGTGTAACAAACCCATATTATCCCCTCCTTGTTCCCAGCTTTCCTAGAGGTTAAACCTAAAACAATCACATCACTTAGTAGACTTTTTCTGCCTCATTCTGTTTCATGTATCATGCAACCACCGTTGGAGTGTCTGGCTCAAAGGCACAGCTCGGAAATAAATTCGTATTGTGCTCCATGACAGAGAAGCCACCTACACTCACACAGGCTATGTGTGGCTGATGGGACACATGTGGCTGCTACTTGTGGAGTCTTAGGCAAGCTGCAGGATCCCTGAGTGCAGAAGCGTGGACATAAGTCACTTCTGAGTACTTTTTAATTCTAACCCCCCCAAAGGTTGACATACGTTGGAACTGACTTATTGCACGTACCTATTAAAAGTGTGTGTACAGAGTGACTCGAAAGGGTTGACATACGTTGGAACTGACTAACTATTAAAAGTGTGTGTACAGAGTGACTCGTCATATAAGCCTGCTAATAGGGCTCTCGGGAACTATGCCAGAGCTTTATAGCATACAAGGCATGTGTCTTTCTATGATGAATTTGTCATGGTGAAAAGTATAACGAACAAAGTCCTCAGAGCACTTTAACATTTATAACCCCCTTTGGCATTTTGAATTTGGTGTGAAATCAGATAAACTTTTCAATCATACCAAAGTTCATCTGGTTACCAAGGTATTAGTTGTTTCATTTTTAAGATGATTCCAGACAACAGTGGTTTGTGTATTTCTAAAACCTTCATTCATCTACATTGCTTCTGTGTTCCATATGTATACAGTTAATTCAAAGTTGTTGAAAACATGTAACTTTGAGAAGTCACATGCATGTTACTTCAAAAACATCCTTATAGCTAGGAGAAAAAGCTCTAGGTTTAAATACTTAAATCATATAAAAGTCATTAAAATTCTTACAACAATAAAGCTGTGAATAAGAAATAAATCTTAAGTTGTAGGAAGAAAGCAGAAAGTACAATTCTTTAGGTTAGGTTAGGCATCCTTCAGTCTCAAGAAACTATGGTAATGTGCTCTGTATGGAGGACTTGTGGCCGAGGATGCCAATTTGAGAGTGACAATTTCTTCCACACTGAAGACAAATCCAGTCTGTCCCATGTCCAGCTCCCTGGTTTTGCTGCTTTTGTGACTTCCTCTTTGCCTCGGCCTGCTGGACAAGGTTCTCTTCAAATTGGGAGAGGCCGTGATGCAACGCCTGCCTCCAGGCTGAACGCTCAGATGTCAGGGTTTCCCATCTGTTGAGGTCTATCCCTAAGGCCTTCAGATCCCGCTTGCAGATATCCTTGTATTGCAGCTGTGATCTCCCTCTGGGGCGATTTCCCTGTACTAATTCTCCATACAGGAGATCCTTTGGAATCCGACCATCAGCCATTCTCACGACGTGCCCAAGCCAACGTAGATGTCACTGTTTCAGTAATGTATACATGCTGAAAATTCCAGCTTGTTCTAAAACTACTCTATTTGGAACTTTGTCCTGCCAGGTGATACCAAAAATCCGTCAAAGGCAACGCATATGGAAGCTGTTCAACTTCCTCTCCTTTTTTAAAAACCTTGCAAAATAAATGCAAGTTTTTTTTAAAAAAACCTTGCATTTATTTTGCAAGGTCTTTTTTTAAAACCTTGCAAAATAAATGTTTTTTTGCTATGGGGTTTGCTACAGCAGAGAACTCATTGATTTAACATGGTTGCTGGCAGAATAAGCAGACGTAGTAACAAAACAACATACTTCTGCGTCCTTAGGAAAAACTTGGAATCTTGGTACTGTAGAGCTGAAAGGGACCCTATGGATCATCGAGTCCAGCATCTGTGAAAAAGGCATATTGGGGAATCAGACTCCCAATCTCTGGCTCTGCAGCCAGATGCCTTAGCCACTTAATAAGGGAATTAGTTAATTACTCTGCAGTGACATCTATTGGACATTCACTACATTGCAATTTATAAGGTTACTTAGTCACAACTAGAGATAGGAGCTGCTGGTTTGCTTATCAGCTGGACAGTTGTTGGTCGCTTCAAAGTCCCAGCTCCTCCAGCAGATGCCCTCTTGGAGGCAGTGGCCTGGCATCCCCGCCCTGCCTCCTCCAGGTGCTGCCTCTGAGTGAGCACCCGCTGGAGGAGGTGGGGCTTTTAAGGGTTGAACACCTGTTTGGCCAATAAATGAACTAGCAAACTGCTGAACCAGCAGTTTGTGCCCATCTCTAGTCAAAATCCATTTTCAAGGTTACATCTACGGCATAACCCTTTTATGCATTACAACATTTTACACATACAAAATTAGAAACTTTGACAGCCCCTCCTCAGGTGAGTGTGATGATGTCTCATTTGTACGTTTTCTCTGTTGTTCAATGGTCCAATTTAGCAATCTTGACAAATTGACTTATTAGTGGGTTTTTTTCTGGCTATCAGTTTGTCTAAGTCCAGATATTATTGGTGGAGCATGATATTTCTAATGGGTCTCAGAGAATTGTGGAGTTTTTGCTCTTTTCTACAAGAAGACTGCAAATAGACCAGGTTACTTGATGTGCTCACTGACAGATCATTTGAGATTATATCGATATCTATATTTATCTGTATCAGTATCTATCCCTGTCCATCTATTTGGGGTTTTGTTTCGTTCCTTTGAGGAACAGTCTTGTTGCTCAATGACAGTTAAGTTTGCTATTTATTATTTATTTATTCCTGCACTATTTGTTATTGTTGTATGCTAATGTTTTTATGTTTTTTAATTGTTTTTGATATTCTGTAAGCCGCCCAGAGTGGTAGAATATACCAGATGGGCGGGATATAAATCGAACAAATAAAATATAAAAAATAAATAAATTAAGATGTCAGTCTATTTTTCATTAGCTTGCAGTTAATACACCTGACTCACAAATAAATTATTTTATAAAAGTGAACAAGAAAGCCATTTATTGACTATGCATTTTGTTCAACTAATTCTTTTAATACAGGGTTAATTGTAATTGAGGGTCCCCAGAGGATGTTAGATATACAGGTAGGTATAAATCTCAAATTAAAAGAGACTCAAAGGCACAATTAGTAAACCACCTGTTCTGACTGGGCAAAAATCTTAATTTGTACTAGATCTTCACCCATCCACTCAAGACAAGAAAATATAGTCTTTGATAACTGGGACGCATAAGCCTCTACATGTCCTCCAAATTCCATGTCAGCTGTAATAATGATGGTAATAATTCAAGGCTGTAATAACGATTAGGATCTGGAATAGATAAGCCCTCTATAATTTTGTCTCACCCCACTCTAGCACTTTGTCTGTTCTTTGTATATAGTGTCAATGTCCTTTTTAACAATTAGCACATGGATACAGAAATCATATAGTGATTAGTTCATTCTGATTGACTGCAACTACATATACATTTCAATAGTGAATATGGAACAAATTCTGCAAACAAAGTTATACAGCTGTGAGAATGACGGTGTTCTAAATGAAGCACTGGTATATTTCTGAGCCACATCTCCACCTTGTCTGGTCATCTGTACCAAAGACACAGACCTTTGAGTCTTACTGAGATTACCAGCACCTGTCAACAACATGTGAATTTTGTGAATAAAACACAATGCCTTTTGCCCAACTTTAAGAACTCAAGTATCTGGTTTCGTTTTTTAAGTGTTTATAGTCTGTTAATACTCCACAGTACTGCCTTCAGTATTGTATCTAATGCAGGAGGCTAGACATTTGAGGGTCTGTTGTCATCTAGGAATCTTTTTCTCCTGTAGATGGCAGATTGACCCCAGTGTGTGATATTTGGATTTGTGGTGGTTGAACACACTTCAGTGATTAACTGAGATAGGTTTTTGTATAATAATCCTGGTCTGTTTTTGCAGTTTTAATGGCTAGTGGTTGAGGAGCAGGTCACATAGTCTTCCTTTGTAGCCTGTGTTTTTACACTACTTGAGTCTTTTTTTTTTTCTTATCATGCAAAATCTCTTTAGGAGAGAAAAGTCAAATCATCCTTTCTAAAATCAGGACTTAGTTTTGATTTACTGTTGTTTAGTCGTTAAGTCATGTCCAACTCTTCACGATCTCATGGACCAGAGCATGCCAGGCCCTCCTGTCTTCCACTGCTTCCTGGAGTTTGGTCAAATTCAAGTTTCTAGCTTCGATGACACTGTTTAACCATCTCGTCCTCTGTCGTCCCCTTCTCTTGCCTTCACTCTTTCCCAACATCAGGGTCTTTTCCAGGGAGTCTTCTCATGAGATGGCCAAAGTATTGGAGCCTCAGCTTCAGGATCTGTCCTTCCAGTGAGCACTCA